AACATTTGACAGCAAAATAAAATGTGTGACTGTGTGTTTGTGTTGCGTACAAAACTAAGGAGAAAAAGTCTTTCCTGAAACAGAACGCTAGCGTCGATTATCTGTCACCGAGCAATGGACGGGAATCTTTTGTTCACTATAAAAAGCTGCTACACGTCAGATTCATGCCAAATTATATTTAATATTAACTTACCGACGACCGGCAGAGAGTTTCTGGTGTTTCAGCACAAACACAGTGGAACCATGTTACTGTTTGTGACCAGGTTCATACACATTGTAGAGAAAAAGGAATCTGTGTCTGTACAAGTCCTGTGATATTTCGAAGCACCGGACAGACACAAGCGCAGCAAAGACTAAAGAAACAAGCGATGACAATTAAAGGAGGAAAGACTCCAAACACGCGGAGAGTCCCGAGGATTTCATCCTCAGCCTGTTACATCCATCAGAAAGTTGTCAAGCATCAGGTGGCATTAATTATAGATGCCTTGTGTGATGCCTGAGGTGTTTGTTTAGTGCCCCTGTAAAATTGGACGCTGGGTTTGAAGAGGAACGGGTCAGCGAGGTCACACGTGAGTGCTGCGCCGCTCTTTCTTTCCTGACAACCTCCAATTTGGAGGCGGCACTCAAAGAATAATGAGAGGAGAAGGAAGGAACGGGAACAAGAGGGAGAGCGAGACACCAGGAGAGGGAGATGCTGAATAAAACATAATGGAGAGAAAGAGATGGATGGATGATTGTGCGAGCTTTTCACTACTGCCGTGTGCACACGCACCTGCGCGCTCGCACACGTGCACAGAAACGCTGTATGTTACACGTGCATGCCTTCATACACGTGTGATGTTTGTTCATACATGCATGTGTGTCGCAACTTTTGATTTCGCCTCAGACCAGCATCGCCGGGGAAATTAGCCGAGTATTAATCGTTCACACGTGCGGCTGCAGCCCGGCGTGTCCGTGCAGGTCCGGGCGCCTCTCTCCGGACCGGACCGTCCAGCACCAGGGACCAGCTGGCCCGAGCAGGCTGTTCCAATACTTGTGTGATTAGACTTGGGAAACGGAGACATTTAACACGGCTGCAGCTGAGACTAAAGCCCCACGGCCCTGTCTGTAAATTACATTGCTCTCACAAACAATCCCATTGAAACAAGGCCGCTGAGGAGAGACTCTGCTGAAGTGGACCGTCCGTGGCCCAGTTTCAGTGGCTCTGATCGTCGCCTGAGTGTTTGGTTATCATCACCCAGAATCTCTCATCACAGAGTTAGACATTAAATATGCGACGACTCTAAACACCGGCTCAGAACTCCTCCTGAAAGAACAAAAAGTTTCCTGAGGCGTCTTGGTTTTCAGCTTTGACATTTAAGGCTGTGTTCTCGTTGTTGTGCACAAACATTCCTCAGCCTCTTTGCAATCAACAGTTTCCATCCGTCCGCCTCGATTTTCACTCAGCGTCTTTAGCAGATTTGTGCGGAGCCCCAATCTCGTGTTGTCTAGACCGATGTGTGTTTGTTTGCGGTTGGGCTTCTCCTATTGATCACAGCAGATTGCATCCAATCTGGTTTGATCAAGTGGGCGCGCATTAGAGGAGCTCCTCATTCTGGTCACACTGCTCACAAGTAATGCAGTAATGCTGTCAGAGCTCCGTGTCTTTGTGTGTT